TTACCGTCGAGATTTTGCTTCGTATACGTAGTCAAAGCACTCAGCGGATACGCTCGCGAGCACAGAAGTTACTATTAATTTCAAGTCCGACGCAGTTCGCGATGTTTCAGCGGCAGGAGTTGACTCTCAGTTTAAATCGAGTTATCGCTATAGAATTTCCAAACTGTGATCCGGCTCTCTCTCCGAAGCCACAGAGACGAGTTATCCCTTTTATTACCGGCGGCCTCGAAGATCGTAATCCATGATGCACACTGTCGAGTCCCGGAAATGGCACGTAGTTCATCATTAGATCATCATTATTTTTTACAGATAAAAATTGATTAGTAGATTATAGTAGTATTACTGATAGTAATCTGTCGAATTGATCAAGAATTAGCTTTATGCCTCGATAATGTAAATTACCGAACAGGTCACTACGTCAAATTTTCCTTATGTACAAGTTCGAATAAATGCTCTTTCTCTCTCTATAACATCTACGCTCATTAATTATGAGATTGTAAATAATTATTGTTGCAGATTTTATGATTAAGCTGTTTTGTTGTTATTGCACTTATTTACTGTGAAGATTTGGCTTTATTTCGCTTACCGAAGTAGAATCTTCCCCGAAAGTTTCGAGTTTTGTTTGACAGCTCTTTCGGGCAAATCTGTCAGAATCAACAGCGGCCTCGCAAAACGCGGACTGTTTCCGCGGGAAAGTGCGCTGCACTCGATGTTGATTCAGGTGTCTGTCTTCAAACTTCGGGGCAAAGAAGAAAATATCTCTGTCAATATGTGCTCCTGCAAATAAAATTTTATAGTTTAGCGCAAACATATTTCTTCGCCATCGCAATGTCGGTCAGTGGTGTGCAACTTTTTTCCCCATCTCTCGATCCTTTTGGGCGGTGGAATTCCTAATTAATTCCACTCGAGAACGCATTTCTCTGAAATAAATGATATTTTTCAGGTAAATATCGATTATGCTTCTTGTGCCTTACTTTCGGGATAAATTCGATTGAACGAGGGAACGATTGAACGGTCATCGATTTAATTGAACTCATTTTGTATCTGGCACGAGATTAGGAAGATATTCGATTAAATCCACTTGGAACCTATCACGAGTCATTAAAATTCAGTCGGTGTGAATTCATTAGTCACGTATCATTCTACAATTCCGTTTTTGTCTATTATTATGCGATACATACAGTTATGTCTAAAATAAATAAAAATTATTTTAATCTAACATTAAGTCTTACAAATGTTATTTATTTAATTCTTAATTAATTTAATTGAGAACGAAAGAAGGCAGTATTAAAATAAGATAATAAAATATATAGGTATTAATAATAACATTAATATATGTACGTATATATGGAATGGATTAATCTTTTAAAAAGGATTACCGTCTGTGAATGTGTGTATAGCTGTGACTTTCGTTGATTACATAATGTTCGACTGATTGGTACCGCAATGTCGGCGTCCCTGATTGTCCACTTTGCTGATATTATCAGGCTAGGGCTCTTCACACATCTCTATAAGCACATAGCTCATGTACACGGCGAAGAACGACCGTCGGAGGCAGGATTCCGTAGTGATTCGGCAATCCTGGAGAACTGCAGTCTGCTTGCATTCAGATGCCAAGTGAGGGCAACCCGACAAATTGCGCCAGTAAGCTTGGACGTCTCTGCGAGGACCCCACTGCAAATTTCAACAATTCGACGACGGTGCCAACTTGTCATCGAGGTAACTCCCTTGCGCATTTTCCGCCGGGATTTCAAATGTAATTGATTTGATTGTTACTAATACTCTTTGATTCTTGAAAGAGGCGCTGACATTTTAAACATCTGCAATGTACGGTAGTAAAATGTCTTACGTACTGTATTCTTTTTTTATACAAACTTCTATAGACTTTTTTGTTTATATCTAACTTATTATTTTTAATATTTAATATATTACGTACAAATATGTATACTTTATTATTTTGTAATTTAACAAAATAAATAACAATTATAAAAGAGTGTGGCGATCGTGGCGCGAGAAGCTGCGTGGCAGCTTTCTGTTAAAGATCTAGGTTCAAATCCATCCAGAACAATATAATTCTAACATTGATTTTAATGAATTTGGAAGCGATCGTCACCTCTCGGAAGGCAATGGCAAATCACACTGAGAGTATCTCTATCAGAACTTCTTCTAATTAGTCGTTCGGAATCGCGGTGTTAAAACTGTAGATCCCATATATCTACGGATATACCTATGCAGAAGAAGTCGCCTACATCCGAGGGACTGGAAAAAAAATTATTAATTGATGATAATGATAATTTTTCCTTATTTAATCAATTAAATTAATAAATGAAAAATTATTAGTATCACGTTATTAATTTTTTTTCCAGTCCCCTGGATGTAGGCGATCTCTTTTCATCATAAATGATGAAAAATTATTATTATCATCATTTAACAATTTTTTTTCTTATAATTTTTTTCTTCACATGCTTATCCGTTCTCCATTGGCTTTCTTATAATTGTTTTTTGTTAAATTATAAAAGTTGTTTGTATAATAACAAGAAGCTCGATTATAATAATAATGCTAAAAAATAAATTCTAAATAATTAATTTAACTATTTAATTTTTGTTACTGCTAAACTATGAGCTCTACATATAATATTTAACATAACAACTGTCATATTATTATTTATGGTTAATTGATACAAATGCATTAAAAATATAATAACACTGAGCAATTATTTTGAATTCTATTAAATATTGAATCGCTATTAATGTTTAAATGTATAATTAACGTTTAAACTCAACTAAGAAGAATAGCTGATTAAAGGCACTATTTCTTGCAATATGCACGGTCCGTGTACCTACATTGCTCTCGTTGGGACTTATGAATTATGGATGTTCTTTTCTGACCACTAAAACATTTCCATGCTCGTTATCTCATCACACAAAAGTATTATCTTCCATTCTAATGCATTTATGTGTGCTCAACATTTAGAGGTACCAACTTATTTTCTTTAAAATAAAAAATATGTAATTTTAACAGAACGCGTGTATTTTAAATATTTAGAATTAAATTTGTAAACTTATTTCTTTATTGTCTAAATAAAAAAAAACATTCTTTGTTGTCTTATAAAAAACACGTGCGATATCTAATTATAATTTATATACATATTAAAAATGCTGAAGTTTGAATACACATTAAGAATTTCAAAACTTTATTTAGTCTGTATTTTTTACTAACGTTTCAGCTTTTATTAGAAAATTATATCTCTTTTTTTTAATATTATATTAATTTTTTTTAATAATATAAAAAAATTAAATTGAAGCCTAAAGTTAGTATATCATTAAAGCATATCATTTATCTGTGTCCAATAAATGCATTTGTGTCATCATATTACGCGATTTTATTGAAGGCGGATAAAGTAGAAAACTCCGCGATATGTGCGTGCTTCTATTTTAACAAGTCACACTTTACCAGAAGGAATCCAGTTGACTGTTATCAGCTACAGTACAATTAGACCAGCGCGATAACATTACAGAGTTTTACAAATTTTTTTGCCTGATTTATGAGCATGATAATCATTCGTCGTAATAAATTCATGCAGAGATCGATAATCATTCGTCGCAATAAATTTATGAGAAAGATAATCATTCACCATGATAAATTTATGAGAATCTTTCACGAAGAGAAAATTTAACTTACAATGTCAATTACATGTAAAGTCCAAGAAATAACAAATTGCAGTAACAAGGTGTACAAAGGAAACTTCTATTTTTATTCAAAACATGAATATGAGTTTGGTATGTCGAGAAATTATGTGAACTAGAATTGTGTAGATAACCATTTGCAGCGAAACCAAAGTGACTCACGAGAATCATGACAGTTTCGGGTTGGGTTATTTCTGTGATCGCACTGGATTATTATTTCAAGGCGGACATAGGTATATGTATACGATGTAAGCATATAAGCTGCATAGTACGGTAAAGAGGAAGATTAAACATTTCTAATTCTGCGTTATAAAGTCAACGAATTTGAAAATTTGTTAATAATAGATTCCCCATTTTATTTTCAGTTAGATTTTCTCTGGACTTCAAGAACATCTTTTTAAAAATATACGTGTACATGAAAATAGAAGAAAATATGATTTGCAATACAATACAGTTTAAATAAAATAAAATTGATCATATTTATTAATATTATAATAAAATGCATTGACTTGTGGCGGACAAAATACAACGTTTTATATTTGTCGCTATAATATTTTAATTAAAGCAGCATATAGTTATAAAAATAATATCACACGTCAACATAATGTTTATTCTTTTTATTGATAGTAATTAATTTTTATTTTTGGGCAATTGTGTGCAAATCATTTTGTGGAATGTATAATAATGCGCGCAATAAATTATCTACATTTGTGCATCGTTACTCTCGGCGAGGTCATTGCAGCCTCATTAATTTACTGTGCTGGACATTATCGTGATCGATAAATTAACAGAGTGACTATACTCTTGGTAATCGGTAGCACAGTTATTTTGTGGTTGACATGTACTGTGTCAGATCAATATATCCTCATACATTCTACGTCATCATACGTGCCTACGTTTATAACAGACATTTCGGTAGCTTCATAAATTCCTGTCATCTTCAAATTCACAATAAATTAAACGTAAGCAAAAACAGTCGCATTAATTCACAATACATTCGTCAGAATATGTTTTTATGGGTGAAACAATTAGAACTTCGCGCTTTTTATAAATTATAGAAATAGTTCAGTCACACCTATAGATATACATATATAACTTATCTACTTAAAATAAATTTAATAAAAATACAATTAGTATTTTGAATAATATAAAATTGTAATATTGATTAATATTTAAATAATATATATTGAAATTAGTGTTTAAAAATAAAATATTTAAAGAGAAGTAATATTACGTGTGAATTACGAATTAAATGCGATTTAAAATTATTAATATTCTTTTTTTCGTTTTAATGCTTTCTCATGTGACTAACATATGTCTTACAATTTTATTTTATTATTTCCAGAAAAATGTTGATAATTCTGTGATGTTAGATATAAAAAGATTATATTTCAACGACACATTTCCAATATCAGCGAACGCAAATAATCTATCGCAAGAATCCTCGGAGTGACCGGATATCTCTAGTGATCAATATGTAAACTTATACATCGTCATCTCGAACATGCTATTTATGAGGATAGGTGACGTGACTCAATGTCAATTTTACGATATAATAAAAATATCATTGATACAGTTGATATAAATCACGATTTATGTTTCATGAGCAAACTGCTCTAACGCACCGTCGATTAGACGCTTTATCTGAAGCTTAACCTATTTATATTTAAGTCTATCAAATAAAAATACTAACAATTTTATTATCTTATCAATGATATTAATAATTAATGCAATAACAAAAATTATAAATTTTACAATTAGTTGTACAATGTATTTGACAGAAATTGCAGCATTTATTCTACAATTTTTATTTCTCTCTATAATTTCCAGTTATCATTTAAAAATCACGTATCGAAAATCTGACAACTTGTTTCTCAGATGAAAATCTCTTAACTCTCTTTAACGTATCAAAATTAGAATATAGATATTCTATAATATCTTGTCTTTTCTTTATATTTATAAAAGTTCTCGCGCCGATTACAAAGAGATCTGTTCTTCGATGAGGCTCCAAGTTCTTCCGGTCTCCAATTTGAGCGTTATTCCCAACTTCCATAATTCATCCTGTGATTCTTTTTCGACTCCTCAATCCGTAGTTTCCGATTTGCAACACGTCATTAATTTATAATGAATTGCATCCATTACTTGGTTCAGCTGATCCTTGAGTTCTCGAGCCTTCACGTAAACATCCTCTTTCATCAGATTGTAGCACATGGCTATCAGACCCATGCCCAGCAACAAGTACACAAAGTTGATGATGAGCTTCGTCTGGCTGTCCTCCAGAGAGTCATGCTGACTCCAGCCTGGAACTAGGTCGCCCATACCGATCTTGCAGAGCGAGGTGACGCAGAAGTAAGTGCTGTCCAGATAGTCCCACCCTTCCCACTCGGCGAACATGATCGAACCGACCGCTATGTAGCCGAATATCACCCACAGGCAAGCGGTCGAGGGTACGATGGTCCTCTGTCCAGGTTTCCGCTGACCGGTGCACTCGTATCCCCGCGTGTACAGCCACTTGAAAGTCTGCGCGAGCACCTTGCCCATGTTCAGAAAGTAGAGCACGTACAGCGGAATGCCTAGAACGGCGTAGATCACGGTGGCGCCTTTGCCCCACTGGGTCTTCGGCACCAGGCTGCCGTAGCCGATCATAGTGATCACCGAGAGGCAGAACATCAACGCCGCTGGGAACGACCAGACCTCGGCAGGCGTCAGGCCGTTGCAGTTTAGCTTCTGTCGCTTGCCGTTAGTAATATTCTCCTGATATCGTTGCAGAATGCTGTTTGACACCACGTAGAAGGCGGTCTGGTTGAATACGTTGACCGATTGATTGCTGGCGGTGCTGAACCACAGCTCGTCGGCGTATTCCCGACGAATATACTCCCGCACGCACACGTCCGTCGTCGTCGTCGTATCGCTCTGCGACTCGATCATCATGAAGCCGAAGGCACCCACAATGGTGTAACCCACAACCAGACCGCCCACACCGACCTGAGTGCACATGAAAGCCACCAACTTTCGGCAGCAGTCCTTGACACGTTCCCGAGGATCGACCCCGGTCGACGTCGAGGACGAGTCTCGGCTCCTCAGGGAGGATCTCATTGAGATGCCGCGTGGCATGCTTCGACGCGTACTACCGAGTCCGATCCGGCACGAAGAGACTCACATGGAACGCACCACCTTAGCTGAGATACTTAGCGACTCTACTCCTCTCGTGCCGCTTTTCTATTTCTGGTCGGAACGCCCCGTCGCTCGCCTCTCGTTTCTTCCTTCGAGATTCTGCTGTCCGTACGTCTCTGTTTCTCTCCTTTTGTTGAATCGCATGGCCCTCTCCACCATGCTGGGTTTACTCTCTCATTGGGATTACCTCCGCGGATTAAAATCGCTACAGTGACTTTAGATCTATCGTCGTTTTAGTACGACTTTGCGAAGATAATCCGTAAAGTCAAAGTTTGCATTGTTAGTTTCGAACTTTCGATACTGAGACTTACCATCCATGCGTTACAATAAGCTGTCTATACGATTAAAACGGGGTTTAGAGTCTCTAAGCTCCAAGAAACCATGTTATTGTTGGATAAATATAATTTGACAGTATAAAAGCTTTAACAAGCTTTAGAAGCTACCAGTCCACTTTGAAGAAAAAATAGTGTGAATTGCGAGTTAAAGATGTCACAGATCTGTTGTGGAGCCATTTAGAATTTTAAAATACGTAGCTTACAAATCTTAACTTTTCAGAAATTTTACAAATGTCGAGAGAAATGTCAAATAACGTAAAATTTGATACGACGTACGATAGTGTGACATCGAAATATTTTTAAATTCATGTATATGTGGCGGTATATATTTAGTGAAAGAATAGCTCTCCGTTATGAAGCGATTACACGCAACTAACTCCATCGAGTTTACTATTTTTACCAGCGTATCTACACAAACTGTGTCCGCTAAATTCGAGGGAACGCGTGTACATGGAACTTGAAATAGTTGCACGCGGTAGTGGCTTGTGCCAAATTGCGTGTCGCACAACACAAGACTAAACATATTTTTTTGATCATAGCAGAAGATATATTTCACAAAGAATTATACGCGAATTATAAATAATGCGTTATTATTATCTACATACATTAATAAAATGTTTGATAAGCGCGGATTATAAAGAGATTTCTTATCGTTATTGTAGCTTACTTTTATTGTATCGAGAAACTCAATAAAAAAAAAGGTTGTGAAACGCTATCAAGTGTGATAGCGGCTTTAGCAGCGTAGTGTGTCGTAGTCATCAGCATTCCAAACAGCATCACGAGTATACATCGGAACTTGAGGGGGAGATAGAGAGAATCGTGTGACATAATAAGCCGCATCATCGTGAAAGGGGGAGAGTTCCCCTTTGTCGAATTATTTTCTCTTTGCAAAATTATACGCGAAATCACGCACATGCATAAATTTAATATTACTGTACTCGCAAGTACACACGCTTGTTTTGACTTCAATAGATGCGCTTTTGTACCAATTTTTGTAATTTTATTGGAATGCAAACATTCCTATGTTAGTCAAAATATAATCACCTGTTATTAAACACCCATACGTTTATATTATGAAGATAAACGAGATATTTTGTAAAGGAACTATATATTTTGGCGTTCGGAATATGTATGACTTTAGCCACAACATTAAATGTTTATAATAAATTTAATATAATAAGTTAAACTAATAGTACTTTACTTATTGTTAGTGCAATATATTTTTTCTTATAATTATCTTTGGGTAAATACTTAATGTAATGAATTTTAATTACTTAATGTAATTACTTGATGTAATGCCATTTGAAGTTCATTACTTAAGGTAATGTTAAAATAATTTGTGTTTTATAAAGTAAAAGAAATTAACGGTAGATAAAATTAGTAAGGACTTAAGTATAAAATATGAGACCTAGAATCTTGACAAATTTATTACAATTTGCGTAATCAGTTTCATGCTTTGGATAGCAGCTGTTCTGGCATCTTATAAACGCTCTTGAGAATATGCAAAAGAAGACCATCGCGTGCCTACGGATTCCGGAGAATCTTAATAATCGCATAATATATATCATGTTTGATCCATTAAGAATGACGAGAAGCAGGGCGAACGTGTCACGAGAGGCCTGATTTTATGTCCTAAAAATATCTAAACTTATTGGTACTTTAGACTCTCGACATACATTCGAAAACTGCATCAATATCCTAAACAGTATCTCAAATTGCTTCTTCTTGATTACTTCTTTTTGTTAATTACCGAATACATTTAAAGGTAAGATAAAGAAACAGAGTTTTAGAACGAATTCTGTTATAAAATTATTTACAATCTTGGACGGAAAGGCAAAAATTTTGATCAGCGAATATTAGGATCGGCTTGTGTTTGTTTCTATGTGAAGCACATAAATCTGCAGTTAGAAAAGATTTATACTTGTATAATTCAGTTTTTTTTTATCAGTTTTATTTTATGATGAACTCGAGGGAGTCGAATGTCCGAAACAATCAGAAAGTTACCTGATATTTCATAAAATTGGAAAAAATCGATTCCAATTGCACGCTATAATTGAAGAAAGTATACAATTATCGCAAACAAAATTATTTTCCAATTCCTTGCTTTATTCTTCTTTCTTCTGTAAAAAAAATGCTGTATTTGCAAAATATTCACTTGAGTGCACTCACGCGCTTCTCAAATCGAGGCTGCAGTTCCATATAAGTTCGATACGTAACGCGGGGGTTGCATACGTCAGCCTCCTCTCAACGAGGAATCTGCCAGGTAGATTTACTCAGTCGAACGACGATCGTCGTCCAAGTTGTGTCTCGGTAAAATCACAGGTGCACCGTGTGTTAAAATGGGTTTAGCCCGCTCGCTAGTAATCACACTGACGTTACTTTACACAGGTAAAATATTTCACGTTTTTTCGAAATAGTTTTGGTTTTTTTTATCTTGATTATCGGTTTTTCGAGAAGCATCAAAGAATTCTCTAACCGTATAAGTTGCATGAATACCATATTTCAAATATTAAACATAAGAAAGAAAAGTAAAATAGTATAGACGAATAAAAGTAAAATAATGATTTATTTTTGTAAAAGAAGAAGAAAAAACTAATGCATACAGAAACGTATACATATATGTATTAATCTTATCTAAAGCAACACAAAATTTCGTTCTAACTAATTATTAAGTTATAACTAATTAGTTATACCTAATTTATTATTAAACTTTTAATAATTTTTATGTTGATTAGTATGTTGTTTGTTTCTTTTATCGTTCTCAAAAATTTAATATTTAATATTTTAATTTGTTTTTTTAAATTTCTAACAAAACAATTACATTCGATAAAACTTGATTTTTATACTTGCCATTAAAATAATTTCTTGTTTGTTGTTGTTTTAATATTGTAACATTTATTTCAAAATTAATTAATTCTTTGTTACACCCTGCTTCAAAATAAGAAAGATGACTATATCAATTTTCATTTCGCTTTCAATTTCATTAAGCTCTTTTCTATCGCATAAAACTGATTTCTGAAAATGCTTATATGAACGACTTATTTTGAACGAACGTTAGATGCAGTGTAACAATAGCGGTAGCTGTGCTTATACTTACCTGCTGACCAATACTTTGCGGTCGATCGGTTGATGAACGCATAAACCGCGTCTAAATTTAAGATTTGGACCACGCTTTGTTCGCGAATTTAATTTTACTCAGTTGATCGCTTTGGCTAGAGCACGATGACGGCATTGCTTCACATCAGCAACGAAAATGCAGTACCTTATTTGTTGATTACAAATTTTAATTCTGTTACAAATATTAATTATTAAGCTTTAAAGTTCTTCCTTTTATTATGTATATTTTCATATTTCTTGCACTTAACGTAAAAAACTATGCATTTAACTTTGAAGAAGAAAAGAGTGAAAGAAAAAAATTGCAAGAAGTCTCTACTTTCAATTAGTCAAAAAGAAAAACAGATCTTGAATGCCTTCTCAACTTTTATGATTTCAATTTTTCTCAGAAAGTGTATTATCCATGGCAATAATTGATACATAAAAGTGCATTCATTCAATCAGTCAACGCAGATTGAATGAATCACTCTGCATCGTTCGCTCGAATCGCGATCGTTTAGTACAGATGAATGAACGCCCTTGATTATTTGTACGAAAAAAAGTACTTCACGTTGAACAGATCAAAGAGAACACATCAAAGAGAACAAATGCGCATTGTTCCTCTTTACACTATCACGATAGAACGTGCTAAATAATCTAACGACCGGTCAGTTCAGCGATAGTCCGCGTTGCATACTGTGACCTGACAGTGCCGTGTATAATATGCTAAATCTCATGTGATAGCTCCTAGTGTAATCTCGGGGTTATCCAGTTAGATTTACGTCGCGTTCATCAGTCGTACACTCGTCGTCATCGCGCTCGTGTGTCACCCATCGCGATCGTCCCAGGTGGTTCCCTGCGATGCGTTTCTTCTGCCTAATCGCTCTTCTAGGTAAGAGCACTTCTCTTGCGTTTGCCCGATATAGCTAATTCCCGCTCGTGATTACTCTTTTGTCACTTCGCGAATGTCACTCTTTTGTCACTTGACGAATTATCCGGAATGTTGATACGAGTAAAAGAGTTGGCGAACAAAAAGAATATCTCAGTTCTTTTATAATTCAACAGCCATTTCTTGAGTGTATGTTCGAAATATCTGTGAACATAATGTACTTTATATATTTAATCAAATAATTTCATTATATTATAATAATTTTATGAACATTTTTGTAATAGTTGATGTCAGTTTATAATATACATTATATTGTATAGTACATTTTCCTCTTTTTTCCATCAATTTGTTTAAACTTAATGATACGTGTATATCTCGCAGTTATTTATTTAAATTCTCATTACTTCTGTTCTGTATATTTTCTTATCGCTCGTAGCTACAAGATATTAATTTTGTATTCCTTTATCAAATTCAATATTTCAAATTTTCAAAAATCAAATATTACTAAATTTTTCATTAAAAGTACTACTTGAATAAATTATACAGAAAATACTATTAATATTAATATTAACTATGAGAAAATATGTTGTTAAGAATTTATATAATAAATTGATTAAAAGAATTTTTTTGGAAATATTTTTATTAGAAATAGTTTTTTAATCTTAAAGTTTGAGATTATGCAATTAGTTTATTTTCAAATTTAATAATGGTGTCATAGATATTAAAAAAATTAAATTTTTTTTCTGTTGCATTATGTTCATCAAGATGAGTAATGGTGGTACCGAATTAATGCTGATAGTGCATCACTTTTTAACAAGAGAAACGCAAGAGAGAATTACAAAGATGAAAGCTCGATGTGTCGAGTAGTATCGGATAGTATCTTAAGCATCCCTAACTGAGTGAAACTCGTATACAGTATCAGCCGGACTTACGCCCTATCCCCGCAGCGGAAGTGTGCATTATGCTCATTAAAATCTGCGGGTCGTTTGAATGATTCGGCCGTTGTTGCGGCCGATGTGCTGATCTAGAAAGCGCCGGCGTTTATTCGCCGATTCTGGACTAATTGCCGGCCGCATGGACGCGGCTTTCGACGGAACGGTCGCCTTGCTCTCGCAACCGTCCAGGCTTTCTTCCCGGCCGGCGGCTGAGAGAATGTGGGATTAGGAAATAAGTGCGAACAAATTCGTCGTGGTTCCGAGCGGTCAATGAGGTCAATTCTGTTTCCTGTCGTGCGCGTTCAATTACTTATTAGGCCCAATGGGATGGACACGCTCGCGATATGGCAAACCGTTCGCGTGGCGATCACGTGGAAATAATTATATTTTACGAACAAGTTCGTGCGAACTCGTCAAATTGATACCGCGAGCGCGAGGTCAGCGCCGGCCTTTAGATCGGTGATTATTACAGTGCTCACGTTTCTCCGCAATTTGTCTCATTTGAACGAATTTGCATGTAGGTAATGGTGAAATCGAGCAACCGGATTGAAACAAGTCGGAGTAATCACAGCGAGGCGTATTGTTGATCGTAGAGATCACTAATAAGAATATATTACCTCATTGTGTAACATTAGTTTGTGTAAAATTAATTTTGATGGCAACTATAAACACATTGATAGTATATATTTCACTATTTGGAGACTAATATTGCATTAAATAATATTTTTATTCTTAAATCACACATTGATAGTATATATTTTACTATTTGAAGACTAATATTGCATTAAATAATATTTTTATCCTTAAATCACACATTGATAGTATATACTTTACTATTTGAAGATAGGCGACTATTATGTATAGTGCTCACGTTTCTCCGCAATTTGTCTCATTTGAACGAATTTGCATGTAATAGTGAAACCGAGCGCACCGGATTGAAACAAGTCGGAATAATCACAGTGAGGTGTATTGTTGATCATAGAGATCACTAATAAGAATATATTACCTCACTGTGTAACATTAGTTTGTGTAAAATTAATTTTGATGGCAACTGTAAACACATATTGATAGTATATATTTCACTATTTGAAGATTAATATTGCATTAAATAATATTTTTATCCTTAAATCTGGAAAAGTTCCAAATGAAAAAAAATTTTCTAAATTACTAACTTAAAAGTTTAGAAGCTAGAAAGCGTACGAGATATAGCTACTCATTGAAAAGTCAATATTCTTTTAGTGCAAAGAGACGACTAACGAACATTGTATAATTACAGGTTTACAAACATTGGAAGCATCTGATTGGGGGTATTGGGGAAAACATGGTAATTATGTGATGATTATATGAAAATGTTATGCGCTATACATACATTCATGCAAATGCATTCACAATTCACACATTAATGTCACATAATAATTCTTTGATAAATGCTCTGATAAAGGTTAGCGTAAAAGATGTATTTTTTTCTTCAAAAATTAAGCTTTTATTAAACATTTATTATTAAACTTAATTATTATTAAGCTTTCTTTAAACAGAAATAAAATACCATCGATATTGAGTTATTCCAGTTAAAGAGAGAATAATATGCTTCCACATTATCTTCCTACTTTGTCATACAACTTTTATCAAAAATCTTAATTAAGCAACATAATGATTTTGTTTCAATGAGATGATAAATCTTCCGAGAATGTTAAAGAAACATAGGTGCCGATAAAATTGATTGCGAGACAATAAGAAATGCTTTCATGCGATTTCAGTATCGATGTTCGGAGAATTTTATTCGCGATAAGCATAAAATATGATAGGTACAATTTTCCTCATCTGGCTTGCATGAAACTTACATTCAAGTTATTAACGACCTAATAACAGCAACCTTGAATAGTTAAAGGTATTTGAAGATCAAAGTCAACGCATTGGTATAACAAAACAAATTCAATTATTTAGGTAAAACTACAATATTCGATAATGATATACTATGAGAGACTAAAAAATATAAATTTTCTGAAAACCTTTATATCTTTATCATGATTTAATATGTTTCTACATGTCCATTATGCTAGAAAGAGCTAATGCATTTTATCTTATGTGTTTTATATATCTATGAACTTCTGAACTGAATGTTTACATTGGTATGATATGATCATCTCAAAAATGACATTATCACCGAGAATTTATTTATGATATCTATATTTATGTTTGACTTTTGCTCCAGATATTGACTGTGCACAATTGAATAATTTAAAATTTAATTGTAAATTCAACGGAGAATATTATTCACTTAATATTTCCGAATATTATTTCTCAGGTATATATTTAAAATATTAAAAATATTTTATTTCACATTATTAGAATCTCCTTAATATAACTGTAATATTTTAGTTGGCATTTAGTACATAGTATGTTTACCTTAGCTCATATATAAATCGTATATGCTGCGAAAAATAAATGCTTAATCTATTTTATAATTATAGATTTTATAGATATGTCCACTTAGTTTTTTGTTACAATTTCAATTACTGCAAATAAAGTAAAGAAGGCAAGTCACACGATTTGCTCGGGTTAATACAGCCCGGGAATAGAAGGTCTTACAATTCTCCATTTGATCAGGTCTCTTGAGAGCAATTACTTTGCATCAATGTGACTGTCGACAATCATCTTGAATATAAAGGCTTTGTACTCGAGAATAGGCAAACCGTGATTTATCTTGTTATAATTTTATTGTAATAACAGGTACAAATAGATATATAAAAGATATATTGTGAAAAATGTAATAAGTGTTTACAGACGAAAAGTGCAAAAACAAAATAATTATTAATGTACAAGGAAATCTACGTACATTGGGGAATTTTTATGTTTTAAATGACATATCTTGTTAATTTCTTCTATGCACGCTGTGAGTCATTGTTTTCCTGCTTTGAACAGTAATTCGATACTAGCTAATCATAGCGCGTAACATAGCAATAATGGTGACATTAGAATTTCGGAATGTATTATTATCATTAAAATAGCACGTTCGCACGTTCAACGCTGCTGCGTCAATGTTTTGCCGCAAAAATTTCAATATAAAATAACATTTTAATAGTGACGTGTCCGTGACTTAGGTTTTGAAAATCCACAACATTAAAAAAGTATCGCTAATCATTAAATTTTAATTGCAATCAAAATAAATCATATGCATCATATTTTTGATTTTTTAATTGTATATGATGCTTGCAACTTGTTTCAATATTGTTCATTGCAGAAATATGAAAAAATTATTTTTCTTTAATAAAACATTTATGAATTTTTTAATTTATATATAAATTCGTATTTAAAAAAAATATATAAATTTTTTTCAAACATATTCTATTCTAGTACTTTATAAATGTGATTGTAAAATTTTATTACACTTTGTAACAATTGAAACTGCTATCTACATGTTACTGGAGTTTACAAATATGATATAGGACCAAAAAATTGGCCGGGAATATGTAGGACAGGAAAGAAGCAATCGCCGATCGATATCGTGACGGAAGATGCCATAAGAGTTGATCTCGGTGCTCTTAAATTCCACCGATACGACTTCGCTTTTCATGGCATGATAATGAACACTGGACATTCTGGTAAGTAAATAGATTGCCATACATTACTGTTTCCCCCTTTTCTCCAATTTCAATGTTCCAGTTAGACATTTTTCAACAAAATTTTTTAATATAACACATCGAATCAAAAGTACGAGCCTGCAAGCGTAATATCTTTCAATTGAAATTTTTTCATAGTGCAAATTCAACTTGATGGTGTGCCACTTCATCTCAGTGGCGGAAATCTGTCGTCGGTATATGTTCTGGAGCAAATGCACTTTCACTGGAGCGCAGAGCACACTGTGGACGGCTCACGTGACCCGTTGGAGTTGCACCTAGTGCATTATGATAAGAAGTATGCGAATTTCAGCGTAGCCGCGCAAAACGAAAACGGGATCGCCGTGGTCGCCGTTCTGTTTGAGGTTGGTTTAACAAGTATTACTCGTTTTACACACAGTTTCGTTTCTTTTTCAAATTATGAATTTTTTCAAATACATATACGAACGCGCCACAATGTCAATTAATGTTTTTGTTACAGTTGAGCAGTGATGACAATCAGTATCTGTGGCCGATTGTAGAGGCGACAAAGATGGTGTCACATTGGGTAGGAAACAACATGTCACGCATAAGAAGTAAGCTGGTACCTTTGTTGCTTTTACCGAAGGATCATACGACTTATTACTATTACGAGGGATCTTTAACCACACCCGCATGCCAGGAATCTGTATTGTGGTTTGTCATGACTGAGAAACTCAAAGTGTCGGAAGCGCAGGTAATTTGAATATAAAAATGTACAGAATTTGTGTTCAGTTTTTGGTTTGACTGGATTTAGAATTGGGGTTCGATTAATGCGTATGCGTTCGTAATTTTAATATCTTTCGGTTTAATAAATCGCAGTTCATATTACAGTACTCGATGAATAAATTATAAGTTTAACACGAGTAGAGTTTGAATCACGGATCGAGAACACTTTAACGCAATTAGCTGGGAGAACAGAAAAGGTGTGAGTGACAGATATAGAGGCGAATGTAATTCGTTAATATCTGTCGCTCACGACAGGTCGAAGCGCGGAGAGCATTCATCGAACCAAAAGGAAAACGGCAAATTTCGTTAAATTGAGTTAAATATGCTTTTATGTTTGTTGTCGATTAAATTCTTATACAACTTATTTATTTGTTTAAGAGAAATTGTCTGCGAGCGTGAGGAAAACAAGCTAGATTAACGTTTAGGATTTAAACGTTAGCTAATCTAATAGAATTTGAGAGCAGATTTAAAATTTGATTTAGCAATTATATTGATTTTAGACCAAACTTAATATTTGATGATCAAGCCATTTAATTTAATGAGTATTTCAGAGTATTAACAATTTTAATTATGAGATAATCATAAATTAATATCTTTGTACTTAAAATTTTTCTTGATTTATAATAATAATAATAATAATAATAATAATCATTATTGTTTTATTAATACTTAATTTACTTGCAGATGAACATATTCAAGTACGTGCAGGGCAGCAACGGCACACTGAAGGTCAATTACAGACCTATTCAAGACCTCGGCAACAGAAAGGTTTACCATCGCCTAGAGGGATACATTAACAAGTCCTCAAGTATCACACAGGATTCCTGGAGCGTCTATACAGTCCTCGGTATTCTTCTAGGCAGACTTTTACACGGGAACTTTTAGTATGAAATAACTAAGCGCCAAAGGGGACTTGATGTTATAACGCGTGTATAACGCGATACGACAGCTATGTGATATAATTTTGGAGATAAGAGAATAACGTGCATTTATTATAACGAATGTCATACGCTCGTATAAATGCATTTTGGAAGGCAACGTGTTTTCCAGAAACTACAGAAACATTGAAAACTACGGGACTATTATTAACATTAATACATAAAAACATAAGGATTTTACAAATAACAAATTCTCCTCTTCTAAGCATCCTTCTAAATTCTGTTGAGTAGATAGTAAATTTAAATTTTCTATCGTTAAATATTTAATTGTTAATTCGCATATAAAGACTTATTTTTATATAAATATAGTTTATAATATTAATTAATAATATATTAAAATTGATGTAATATTATGTATTATCTGCTGTTTTTTTCGAAACGTTGCACCAAAAAAATTGGTATTTGCGCGATTAATTAGCGATTAAATATGAGGCAGTTTCTACACATCTCATTCGATTTTGCTGAAGTGGCTACGAGAATTTTAATTTCAATCCTAGCGCAGCCGTTGTTATACAAACCGCATTCAAAAGTGGCTGTGCTCGCTTAATGGACGTTTATTTTCGACATGTTAGAGCTTGAGACAAAATCTGTTATATTTTGTACGAGGCATGCAGATTATTGTTATACCTTTATGTGAGCAACAAATTCTGGGGGGATCGTGCAAGGGAACTTAAAACGCGCGACGCGGTCGGCCGTGATAAATTATTGTTACAGTTATCAGCAAAATCGAAAATTGACATATTTTGATAGTACAGTGATTGCAGATTGATTTTGTTCCAAATTCAGTTCGAGCAACTAACTCTGTTGATATCAATGTTCGATCGCGGTGGTATAGTGCTGAAAGTATGTAGTGATATTTCTTAAACAATGTTATTTTTTGTAAATGTTTTAGCGCTGTCTTGAAGCAACAAAAAGGCAAAATCTAGTGTATTGATTTTTTTGATAGGATTACTCTATTTTTTTCTTCATATGGAGGGCCCACACTATAGCTTGCTACTACTATAGTTGCCTCTTCCCATTTTTTACGCTATTTTCTGTTAAACGACTGGAGCAACAAAATTCAGATTAGAGCAACAAATTAACAACAGAATTGCACTAAATTTTTGATTAGGTTCAAACTTATTTTGTGATAGTGTGCGGTCCATCTTAATTAGAGTCGTTTCTAGAGTTTTTTTATTAAAAGATTAAACTTTCCGTGAATTTGATTATAAAAATGTGTATATTATATGTATATATAAATTATACCGTGGATAAGGCGACCTCAAATCGCTTAATATTTGTAGTTCGTCCACTGTCACTTTTTGTACATCACAGATCTTTCCGCGGTGTACTCCAATGGTGTCGAATGGTTATACCGTGGATAAGGCGGCCTCAAATCGCTTCATATTTGTAGTTCGTCCACTGCCACTTTTGTACATCACAGATCTTTCCGTATACTCCAATGGTATCAAATGGTATCACGACGACAGTATCAGATAGTTTGAAAGCCTATATAGTCACGCTTTCTGCGGCGCCTCTCGATTCCAGTGGTTCTACAATGTTTGACGGAACATAAGATAATTGTCGCGACAATGTAGGGTTAAATACGAGGAACTTAATAATTATTTATACTCTTGATGAACGCACCAAAAATACAGTGCTATACATTTAATGAACTATTGCTCAGTACAAAGTGATTTTTATAAGTTTTTCTACACTTCCGTTATAATAGGACGTAGAACCTCACAAAATTATTATCTTCGTTAGAGATATGGTTCGATATTTAATATCCAACGTATCTACACAGTGATCAAAGGGTAGACCAGAGGTAGATCAAGGGGGTAATTAAAATATTATAGAAGTAGAATAAAGGGAGGGAAATGTCAACCCTTTGTCGTATGACTGCTCATAATTAATATTACTGGCGAACCGGAAGGCAACAAAAGGAATAATAAATTCCTTAATGTTGAGTTAATTCCTTAATGTAGAGTTAATTTTGGAATAAAGGAAGACTCACTTATTTTCACTTAGAGGAAGAAGCGATAGCGGCACGTGAGGTAGTTATTATTATTGCAAGCACGAGCAATTGAAGTTTCAATTTCTCACATCACGCTGCATTTTCGTCAAGATATTCCCGACTTACCGCGAATGTGCGACACGAAAGGAATGGATTTCAAAAATGTGAATCTTTTTAATAGTCGAGTGAACGTGCTCTCGGGGAATTTATTGCCGATAGCAGCCGACAATTCACAGCTCTCAGTAATCTGGCGTATTTACGGCGCCGTAGTATGGTTGATAGAATTAATCTACACGGTCGCGCTGATCTTCGGGGTTATCCTGGCGCCGGGCGACAAGGGTCTGAAGGACGGCACCGTCGCTGTCGTGGTCGTCATAGAGGCGTCTTTCATGCTTACGCGTCTCTACTCGCGCAAGAAGCTGATGGAAGAAATGATTCGGAAGATGAACGATATCCTGCAAAACGCGGACGAAATTATGGAGGATGTCGTAAAATCGGCCATAAAGCCCATAATAATGCCGTTCTTAATATATGGAGTGACCAGCGCGTTATCTATCACGATATGGACCATACAGCCGATTGTGTTGGTATTCGAGAAATCCACGTTTTTCTACGAAGACTACCAATTGCCAACCGCTTTTACCACCGAACCGTTCTCCAGCCGCGTTCTGATTTCCTCGACCATTTTTATGACAATTGGCAGCATTTACTCGTTCCTGCAGAAATTCGGCGTAGATGTGTACATGATGCATCTGGTATTAATGTTAACGGCGCAGTATCGATATACGGCGGCAAAGCTCTCGATATTATTTCAAGACTTACAGAATTATCACGACAAATCTCAAAAAGGACATTATCGTTTGAAAGATCGATCGACGGAGGAAGAATTAAGAAAATTGTGCCTGCATCAAAATACTGTTTTACGGTGAGTGTAATGTGATCATTGAAATAGGTATTAAAGAATGGAGAAAAATTTATTTGTATTATTGAAATTATTCTTCTTCTTTTGGCATTAAAAAAAATCACTGATAAAAGAAAAAGGGTTATTCTTATTATGTATATAAATATTAATATTAATACTATTGTTTTAGCATGTCAGTTATATTAAAGAAAGTTTTGTCTGTGAACTTCAGTCTACTCTATATCAATAATGTACTTCGATTCTGTTTTATAGGTATCTTACTAAGTTCAGTGAGTAACGATAATTTTATTAATCTAAAAGAAAAATGTATTCTAATAATTCTATTGTATTAATAACATTCTTTATTTAAAATTTTCTAAGAAAATGTTTTATATATTTTCAGGTACCATCAATGAGTTTTACAGAAGCAATTTCGGTTACGTCATTTGCAATCGGTTCACTAACGCAATTTTTTTTGTTGTGTTCTTCCGTACAAACATTATCAGACGCAGTAAGATATATCACTGTATTATCACTATATTCTATAAATTAAAGTATATTTTAATTACTAAAGAATTTGTACGGCTATATTATACATTTAATTATAGAAATTTATAGAAATTTAATTAATTGTAAAAAGAAAAAACAATTCGTACAATTTTATTTAATAATATAACTTTATAAAAAAATAAAAGTAATTAAAAATTAGAAATTTAATTAATTGTAAAAAGAAAAAACAATTTTATTTAATAATATAACGTAAAAAATAAAAGTAATTAAGAATTATAAATGCTGATTACAAAATTACATTAAAAAAAAAAATGTAATTTATAACTACGATCTGTCTTATATTTTTATATTAATTATAGAGTACCGAAATAACAGATAAAGCATTTGATGAAAGCTGGTATCAATATGGACTATCAATGAAACGTATATTTATGTTATTGATAATGTCTAACAATCTAGAATGCAGAATTGCAGCGATTGGAAAGTTTAATCTGTCTCTGCCTTCATTTATGACGGTAAAATTTATCATATATCTATATGTCTTATATGTGTCTTGAAATTGGTACTTGAAGTCTCTCATATATCATATTTTTTAATGATGTTTTAGATCATGAACCAATCATATTCAATCGCCCTTCTATTTTTAAGAGCGAAATGAAAAAAACATTTTCTAAAAACATATCACGTACATTTTAATTCGGCTGATAAAAGGTAGATGATAATTTGATACAAAGAAAATTGAGATAAATATTTTAAAGAAAGAATTTTCTCTAATAATCTGAAGATTACTGTTATGACAATATGATGAGCCACAATAAATGAAAAATATAATATTACTCCTTTAATTTTAATTTAATCTTCTTCTCTCCTATCACTTTCTTTCTTATTATTCTCCAAACGAAAAATGAATTCAAAGATACTTTGTTATACTTATAATATCTATATCACTTCATAAAAAAAATATCAACGCAGATAATTCAAGTATGTAACTGTATTAAAAGAATATATGCGTTTATATACAAATATATACTTAATGTCTAATTTTTCTGAAAAATTTATAAATCATGAAAGAAACTTGTTATAGCAATATTGCAATATTAATCTTTGTTTTTCATTTTTAATCCTTTTTTCTAATTATTATTTTTTAGAAATTGTTGTTAACGACTTACATTACTTGCTGGTCCGTAAATCCGTAGGCTTTACAATTACATTTCGTACATTCGATGTTAACTTAATACATTGTGGATTAATTTCCAAAAATTGTCTTCTTTAACGTATTTTGAAGAAAACTAATCCTCTGTATTTCTGCAAGAAACAGAAAAGTACTATAAGTTAATTGCTACTTTATATCGCGAAGGACTTGCGAGGGATCGCTTCGTATCGGTGGGTTTACATGAAAGTTTATAGTCGTATTTTCGTGCTAAAGAAAATGAAAATCCCTCTGTACACTTGAAGATTGGATTACTGCGACAGTAGTTTATAACTGCTCTGTTTTCTTGAAAGGGAATAACAAAACGTTTTTCAATCAATACTTATATAGGTTTGTAGCACATTGCCAGTTATAATTAAGCTGATATGTGTATCTTATGGAATGACCACAAGAAAAGATAATA